ACGGCCTTACACATAATCAAGAAACTCACTTGACAGATGAAGTGCAGCAATGTGTCCATGATCATGGAATTCACTAGTTTTACCATGCTGCCCATCACCTCAAAGAAACTGGCTTTGAAAATTTAATTACAATCCAAATAGATGGCAATGACTTGAATAGCTGGGGAAAAGCTCCCAGGAAATCTATATATACTTTGAATTAGTCTGCAGTATATTGTGTTGTTTTTGCCAAAGTCTGGATTTAGGAGTTTAGGTATGAAGAGATGGAAATGGGAGTGATACCACTCACTGTTAACCCTAGTGACCGACTCTCAAAATTTCTTCTTCCTGCTTCATTGACTTTAAGCTTTGCTGGTCCATAGGTCTTAGTCACAGAAGAATAAACGCTTCCACCTAGAGATACAGCAATAATTCTATTGAATTGGAAGTTAAGACTTTTACCCAGCCATTTTCAGCTCCTAATGCTACTGAATCATTAGACAAAGCAGGAAGTCGTCATAACTGATCTTGACTTTCCAGGGTAAATAGGGCTATTCCTTCACAATTCAAGGGTGAATAAGTCTGGAATACGGGACATCTCTTAGGGTATCTCCTATGCATGGAAAACTGTAATAGCCCAAACTAGCCAGAATGGCTAATGGCCCAAACTCTTCAGGAATCAAGGTTTGGGTCACTTCACAAGGAACAAAAACATGGTCAGCTAAGGTGCTTGCTAAAGACAAAGGGAATACTTTATGGATAGAAGACAGTTATGAATACCAGCTATCATCATGTGGTCAGTTACAGAAATGAGGCCTGTAATTTTAATGAGAATTCCATAAAAATATGTGTATTTCTTAAGTGAAGATCCTTTATTCCCTCTTTTATTCACTACTTATATCAATAAGATATGCGGACTCTACATCAATGTTTAAATATCGTCAGTTTTACATTATAGAATTCTAGTCTGAGAAAATCAGGAGAAGAGTCAATATAACTCAGAGAGTATATTTCCTTTTTGGAATAAGGGATTAGTGAGTTTTAATTTAAATGCAGAATAGTTGTGTCATGTAAAGCACAACTATGACCTTGTTATTGTCTCTGTTTAGAGACTAAGTATGGTTTAACTACATGCTTATGCTTGCCAAGTTGACAAGGGGTGGAGAAATGATAGTTAAGGTGTTGATTTAACTGGGCTGTATGATGCCCTGATAGCTGGTAAACATTATATCTGGATGTGGCGTCCCTGTGAGGATGTTCCTGAAAGAGGCTAGAATTGGTAGGCAGAGTAATGATCATCCTCATCAATATAGATGGGGATCAATGCAATCAACTGAGGCCTTGAATACAAAAAAGAACAGAGCAAGAGTGAGTTCACTCCCTGCTTAAGCTAGGACCTCCTTCGTATCCTGCCATTAGACATTAACATCCAAGATTTTAGAGCCTTTGAATTCAGACCATCACCTACACCCTTGGCTCCCCAATATTTCAAGTTTTAACTGAATCTATATCACATGCTTTCTTGGAACTTGCAGACAGGAAACCACGGGAATCCTGTCTACTTAACTGCGTAAAGCAATTCCTCATAATAAATCTCTATCATCTATCTATCTATCTATCATCTATCTATCTATCTGTCATCTAAATAGCTCCTCTTGTCTGTTTTTCTGGAGAACTCTGATACACTAGTGAATACAAATTGTCTTCTACAACTAATGGGCAGCCTGGAAACATTTTGTTTTGCTCTCACATGCTTTAGGGATTATCAACAAATTGCCTTCTATCTCCTCAGGGAGAGTCTCAAAAGATTAAAAAATTGATAAATTGTTCTCATTGCGCCATGTTAGAGACACATGAAAGAGTCAAGACAGAGGTTTAATTACAGGTAAAAACAAGTAAGAATGTTTCCTGTGGTGCCATATGTTACAGATGTCCACAATGCTTCAGTGACATTGGCAAACTGCCACTTTAATTTGATGACATAACAATAGTAAAGTATGACAATCTCTGATTCATTTCTCTAAGATTTCTTTTACTCAATATGCCTGAGTTGAAATAACAGTGATCCATTTATTCATATAATTTTGTAAGTATTTTACATGGTTTAACAGGCTGAATGCTCATAAGCATCTTTGAAGCACCATCATGTTGTTTCTAAATTATTCATTTTACATAAATTATTTTTCTCTAATTGAGGTAAAAGCTTGGAGAAAGTAAAGGACAACTACAATGAGATAAATATATTTTTAATCAAAGAATGAAGAAGCTGCAACTATTTAGTTACTCTTGTTCATGTCCTTCCAAATACTTGTTATTCAGATGCTATAGGCTCTTCGATCCCTTAACAATAATTTAACACTTGATGATTATTTAAATAAATGTGTAAATATTATTCTTTTCTCACTTCTTGATGAGACAAAAAGGGGGTTTCTACCTTACATTCAAATGTGAAAAGTATTATCAAAATTATTATGAGGCTCTTTGGGTAAGCAAAGGCATAGAAAAAATTATTTTAAAATATAAGAAAATAAAGTTAGGAGACTTTTAAGTAACCAGTTTTATGGCACAATACAATTTTCAGAATGTACTTCAATTTCCACTGAGTTGAAAAAAGCAGGTATGATTTTCTCAAAGATTGTAGCTTTAAAAATTATAACTGATATTCAAGAAAGATAGCAATATGTGAAAAAAAAAGCAATCTGGTTCTTTCCACAGAACTTCAAAGCTGGTGAGAGGAAGCTCATTTATATTTTCTTGACTAGTAAGAAAATAGGTATTTATCAATGATGATATTTCTTTTTTGCCTTTCTAAATTGCCAAGCTGTACAAACCTAGCAAACAAAATACAAGATTTATGTTACTTATTTGCTAAAGATATTTGTCTAACATTTCTATCTACTGGCACACATTACCAAATATCTAATATAAGAAAGATGTGTTCATTGAGTCAGGGTAAGATAGGAGGAGGCCATAATTCTATTAAAAAATTAAATGATTTAAGTTCAAATAAAATGTAATCATCTTTATATTTAATGTGACAAAATGCATGTCTTTGTTTTTCATAGCTCACTCTGAGATTGCTGTTATATAATCTTCATTGTAAACACTATTTTCTTTCTTTTGTTTTTTCAAGAAACATTGAGGCTTACAGTTTTTTTAACCAATAATAATTATCTTATATTATCATGCCCTCTATCTCCTACTGTAGTATATTTTAAATCTGTGAGTGTATGTATGTATATGGAAATCACCAATTTTATTGGTGATATTTAGATACATATTTATTTGATTATACATATGCTTATTTACATTATGTGCTGTACCAAATTTCCCAGTTTCTGTGGTCTGCAAGTCCAGAAGGATTTTAAAACACACCAGAAATCCATGTATATCTCCTGTTTAATGTATTGATTGTCTCTATGTTATTGTACTACCAAGTAATTTTAATCATTTATTTTCTCTAATAAAATATACCCTTTAATTATAAGAAACCAATATGAAGAAAAACATTTTCTCCCTGTTTGTTCAGATTTCATCAACTCCCCTAAGATTTTGTATGATAAAATTAACATTCATGTTCACGTATTTCTCAATTATAAAGGTAATAAAACTATGGGAAGATTAATGTTTTAATAAAGTTTATGTCAAAATACTTTATTTGAAGTGTTATTAAAATAGTGGTAAAAATTAGATAAGCAATCCAAAACAATAGCATACTGATTACCTGTGTTTAGTCCCAAATTGAGGGAGAGAAGAAGAACTGGCTTAAGTTGCAAGTATTACATCCTACTTGACCTGTAACTCACATCATTATGGGCATCATATAGGCATCATTATGGTCCTAGCAAAGAAGTTAAGTCAGAATAATTTACATGTACATATGTAAAAAAAAACTTTTTCAAGTAAGGCACTCTCACAATTAAAACAAATAACAAGGAGAAGAAATCTCACAATGAACTTGATATTTTAGAATGACTTCTAGGAAGCACAGACACATTGAATCATTTAACCTTCACTCATCTTTTCCAACAGTTCTGCAATGACACGTTGGTTTTGGATATAAGGACAAATAGTTTTAGATAATTTAACACTATTTGCCTAAAATAAAGTTTCAAATATGTCATAAATTGAGATATAGTGTAGCATATATCTATATCCACATATTTCATGATTTTTTTGCTGTGTAAATACAAATATTGCCACTGTCATCTGTATGCTGCTCTTATTCATATGCCTAATATCTGTTAACTATGTTAAAATCTCAGCTGTACCATCGAAAGGGTTAAGGGTTTTCATGGGATGATATTTTGAAGCAGGTGGTTTTATGCATTTTTGGAATTTGTGACAGGAATTTTTTATATAACTAAAATTGTATTATGTCATGATAGTAACTGTAATCTATAAATATAACCAAACTCTAACAACATAGTACAATAATTGTTCATATATCAAATATCCACAATATTAACAATGCTTTTAACTTAAAAATTTTTCTTTATATATATCTATACAGATATGAATATCTATATCTCTTTATCTCTCTCATATAAATCTATCTGTTCATTATCTATTTATCCATCTCTATCATCTATCTATTCATGTATCTCATCAGAGTTTCTCAACCTCAACACTATTGATATTTGGGGCTGATTATTGGGATGGGCTCAATATTGATTATAGTAGAATGTTTATCAGCATACTGGCTTGTAACAGTAAGATGCAACAGTAGCCCACCTCCAAATTGTGATAAAGAAATTGTCTCTACACATTGGAAAATGTTGTTGATTGAGTAAAATCAAAACCAACTGAAGACTACTGATCTCTCTTATCTCTATCTTGAATTATATTTAAACATGTTTTTATTTGTGAGAGATATGTTTGTTTTTAAATGTCGAAAATTGTGACATTTAGATATATCTTACATTAGCTTTACATACTAAAACATTTCTTAGGTGATAATAGAGAAAAGCTGCTGACTATGTTGATGTCTCTATCCAGAATAGGTTTTCTGCTGAACCTGGATGGAAAACCACAGTCTAACAGTGGTGAATGAATTCATTCTCATGGGAATCACAGATATTCCTGAGCTGCAGGCACCATTATTTGCATTGTTCCTCATGATCTATGTGATCTCAGTGATGGGCAATTTGGGCATGATCATCCTCACCAAGTTGGACTCCAGGCTGCAAACCCCTATGTACTTTTTTCTCAGGCACCTGGCTGTCATGGATCTTGGTTATTCAACAACTGTGGGACCCAAAATGTTAGTAAATTTTATTGTGGATAAGAATACAATATCCTATTATTTTTGTGCAACACAGCTGGCTTTCTTTATTGTGTTCATTAGTAGTGAACTTTTTATTCTCTCAGTGATGTCCTATGACCGCTATGTGGCCGTCTGTAACCCTCTGCTATACATGGTAATCATGTCAAAAAGGGTATGTCAGGTGCTGGTGGCAATCTGCTATCTCTACTGCACATTCATTTCTCTCTTAGTCACCATAAAGCTTTTTACTCTATCCTTCTGTGGCTACAATGTCATTAGTCATTTCTACTGTGACGGTCTCCCCTTATTACCTTTACTTTGCTCAAGTACTCATGAAATTGAATTGATAATTCTGATCTTCGCAGCTTTTGATTTGATTTCATCTCTTCTGATAGTTCTTGTGTCTTACCTGCTCATCCTTGTAGCCATTCTCAGGATGAATTCTGCTGAGGGCAGACACAAGGCTTTTTCCACCTGTGGAGCCCACCTAACGGTGGTCCTAGTGTTCTACGGGACTTTGCTTTTCATGTATGTGCAGCCCAAGTCTAGTCAATCCTCTGACATTGATAAAGTGGCTTCCATATTTTACACCCTGGTTATCCCCATGTTGAATCCCTTGATCTATAGTTTAAGGAACAAAGATGCAAAATATGCCATACAAAGGACATGGAATAACTTATGTAATATTATTATTTAAACTTTGTAAAATATGACGCCTATAAATAAGGTTATCAGCATCAATTTTTGCTCTGTATACTTCTAGAAAACATAATAAGCATAACTGATTCAACATATATTTATATATGTCTTAAACATGATAGTCTCTTCTAATTCCTATACATAGATTAATAAACAAAACAGTAGAAATATTTGCCTTCCTTGATGATAGGAGAATTATATTCACAGTAAGCCCATCTTATATAACAGTAGAATGTGCAAGATGGATATAGACAAAGAAGACAGGGAAACAAGGAAAGCTATTATGCTTGGTTTGAGTAGGGAACAGTGGTAATTACAGGAGGGAGGGGCAAGGATACTAGTGTTTTTATCAGCTATTGTAATACATTTGCAGTGTGTGTGTTTCTGTATGTTTCTGTTTTGTGTGTTTGCGTACATTAGCACTTTCCTTCTGTTTTAGCCTTCATATTTTTACTTGTATATTTTGACATTGCATTTAATACTGGTTTTTTACATGATATGTATGTGATGATTTTAAGTCTTATGAATGTGCTTGTATAATAACTATTCCATATATTAGGATCCCACTCATTCTTTATCAGTGCCTTTATTTACACATGTAAGTCTGTTAGTTGAACATTCTTTGTAACTCAATAATCTGTAAATTCTAGTTAGCACCTCATTTTGTTTCAGTCAGTCCATTCTGTTTACATAACTAGATATATCAATTATGATTAAATTTAGAAGACACTGATAGAAACTGTCAGGTTTATATCTTTCCTCTAGTTGCCCTTGTTTAATAAATGCCATTTTCATGAATTTTCCCTTATTTATGTACAAATGTAACAACCTGTGGTTAAAATTTGTTTTCAGGTTGTTTTCACGTCTTTGAATAAGAGCACTATTCTATGATGAATTAACCTCCTAGTCTCTTTCTCACTGAGTTGACAATTCATAACTTTTATCTATATGTACTATATCGAATGCAGTATATTTTCATTGATTTCACTGTTTGATCGCATCAGTTGATTGTTCTACTTGTACAAAGCAAACAAAAGTAATAAAACACACTGTACTATACTGTAGTTATCTGCTGGCTGTTACGGATGTCCTCTGACAATTATAGACCTTCACCATGCAAGTGAGGCCTGACCTGCATGCAATGATATCATTACCTTGCCTTTTGAACATGGTTGCTTTCCTTACCTTTCTTATGTATTTTGATTTCCTTTATTCTTTTTAATACACCTAAGATTTTATTGAAAGTATCAAAGTCTACAATATTGCCTTAGTTCACCATCATAAAGTAAACTCCCATGTGCAGCCAAAGAAACTTGAATGAATATATTTCATTGGAATACTTTAAACATTGCATAGTACATTGTCATGTGAGGTTAAATATTACTACTGTTGTTGATGTGCTAAAAATGAATCTTTAGGATGGTCATAGAAACTACCAGGCAATAATAATACCTCGTACTTACTGAGTACTATATTTTATGCAAATCAATAGTACAACTCATTCTGTGGATACTAGTCAGCCTTTTCCCTCAGGCACCCTGTCATTTCCCAATGGGCTCACAAAAAAGTGTACATGGTGGCAGGGACATAGGCTATGCGTGGTCTCACAGCAACATAGACTTCTGCTCATGAGGGCCACCTTGGCCATAGTCACTGCTGAGTGTCCAATCTGCCAGCAGCAGAGAACAATGCATATTCACTAATGTGGCACCATTACCCAGTGGTAGCAGCAATCTACCTAGCAGGTGTTTAGTTACATTGGACTCTTTCCATCATTTAAGAGCAGCATTTTGTTCTTACTGCAATATATACATATTCTGTATACAAACTGTCATTCTCTGCAAGCAATTCTTCCATAAATACTTTCCAAATTATAGAATGCCTTATGTACCATCATGATATTCCACACAGCATTACATACAATTGAGAAACTCACTTCACAGATAAAGAAGTATAGCAATGCGTTTATGATCATGGAATTCACCAGTCTTGCCATGCTGCCCATCATCCCAAAGAAACTGGCTTTGAAAATTTAATTACAATCTAAATAGATGGCAATAACTTGAAAAGCTGGGAAAAGTTCCCAACAAAGGTATATATACTTTGAATTAGTCTCCAGTATATTGTTGTATTTTTGCCATAGTCTGAATTTAGGAGTCTAGGAATGAAGAGATGGAAATGGGAGTGACACCACTCACTGTTAACCCTAGTGACCCACTCTCAAAATTTCTGCTTCCGGCTCCATTGACTTTAAGCTTTGCGGCCTACAGGTCTTAGTCACAGAGGAATGAATGCTTCCAACTAGAGACGTAGTAATAATTCTATAGAATTGGAGGTTTAGACTTTTACCCAGCCATTTTGAGCTCCTCATGCTACTGAATCAATAGACAAAGCAGGAATTTATCATAATTGATCCTGAATTTCCAAGGAAAATTGGGTGATGACTTCACCAAGGAAGAATAAGTCTGGAATATGAGATGTCCCTTAGGGAATTTCTTATTAATGGAAAACAGTAATAGCCCAAACTAGCCAGAACTGCTAATTGCCTAAACTCTTCAGGAATAAAGGTTTGGGTCACTTCACAAGGAAGAAACCCATGAGCAGCTAAGATGCTTGCTAAAGACAAAGGGAAAACAGTACGGATAGAAGATAGTTATAAATAGCAGTTATAATCATGTGGCCAGTTACAGAAATGAGGCCTGCAATTGTAATGAGAATTTCAACCTTATTTTTATTATAAATATGTGCACATATTTATTAAGTAAAGATACTTTATTCTCTCTTTTATTCCCTTACTATATAAATAGAATATGTGAACTTTATATCAATATTTAAATGTTGTTAATTTTACATTACAAAATTTTACTCTAAGAACATCAGGAGAAGCGTCAATATCACTTAAAGAATATATTTCCTCTTTGGAATAAGGGATTAGTGAGTTATTATTTACATGCAGGATAGTTGTGTCATGTAAAGCACAACTATGACCTTGTTATTGTCTATGTTTAGAGACTATGTGTGATTTAAGTACATGCTTATGTTTGCCAAGTTGACAAAGGATAGAGTATTGATGGTTAAGGTGCTGACTTAACTAGGCTATATGATGTCCTGATAGCTGGTAAACATTATTTCTGGGTGTCCCTGTGAGGATGCTCCTGGAAGAGGAAGAATTGGCAGGCAAAATAATGATCATCCTCACCAATATAGGTGGGCATCACTGCAGTCAATTGAGGCCTTGAATAGAACAAAAAGAGAAATGGTGAGTTCACTCCCTGCTTAAGCTAGGACATCCTTCGTTTCCTGCCATCAGACATTGACATCCCAGATTCTAGAGCCTTCGAAATCAGACTGTGATCTACACCCTTGGCTCCCCTAGCTCCCAGTATTTCAAATTTTAACTGAAACTACACAACCAGCTTTCCTGGAGCTTAAAGACAGCAAATTACAGAAATCATCAGCCTACATAATTGCATAAAACCATTTCTCATAATAAATCTCTATCCATGTATCTATCTATCAATTATCTAAACAGCTCCTCTTCGTTCTGTTTTTCTGGAGAACTCTGATATACTAGTGAATACAAATTGTCTTCTACAGCAAATGCACAGCCTCAAAACATTTTGCTATGCTCTTACATGCTTTAGAGATTATCAACAAATTGCCTTCCATCTCCTCAGGGAGAGTCTCAAAAGATTAAAAAATTGATAAATTGTTCTCACTGTGCCATGTTAGAGACACATGGAGGAGTCAAGAGAGAGGCTTCATTACAGGTAAAAAAAAAAAAAAAAGTAAGAATGTTTCTTGTGGTGCCATATATTACAGATATATACAATGCTTTAGTGATATTGGCAAACTGCCACTTTAATTTGATGACATAACCATAGTAAAGTGTGACAATCTCTGATTCATTGCTCTAGGATTTCTTTTACTCAATAATGCCTGAGCTGAAATAACAGTGCTCCATTTTTTCATATAATTTTATAGGTATTTTACATGGTTTAACAGGCTGAATGCTCATAAGCATCTTTAAAGCACCATCATGATATTGTTTGTAAAGTATTCATTTTGCATAAAATATTTTTCTCTAATTGAGGCCAAAACTTGGAGGAAACAAAGCACAACTACAAGGAGATAAATATATTTTTAGTGAAAGAATGAAGAAACTGCACTATTTAGTCACTCACGTTCGTGTCCTTCCAAATGCTTGTTATTCACATGCTCTAGGCTCTTAGATACCTAAACAGTAATTTAACATTCAATGATTATTTAAATACACGTGTAGATATGATTCATCACTTCTTGATGAGACAAAAGGGGGATTTCTACCTTACATTAGAATATGAAAATAATTATTAAACTTATGAGGCTTTTTGAGCAAATGTATGCACAGAAAAAAAACATTCAAAACTGTAGAAAATAAAATTAGGAGACTGTTAAGTACCCAGTTTTATGGCACAATACAATTTTCAGAATGTACTTCAATTTCCACTAAGAGTTGACAAAAGCAGATATTATTTTCTCAAAGATTGTAGTTTTAAAAAATATAATTGATATTCAACAAAGATACCAAAATATAAAAAAAGCAATCTGGTTCTTCCTAGAGAACTCCAAAGATGGTGAAAGGAAGCTCATTTATGTTTCCTTACGTAACAAGAAAATAGGGACTTAAAAATGATGATATTATTTTTTTGCCTTTCTGGATTGCCAAACTGTACAAAACAAGCAAACAAAATACAAGATTTATGCTGCTTATCATCATATTTCCTAAAGATATTTATATAACATTTCTATATTCTGGCAAACATTAGCATGTATGTAATATAAGAAAGATATGTTCATTGAGTCAGGGTAGGATAGAAGGAGGTCACAATTTTATTTTAAAAAATCAATTTAAGTTCAAATTATATGTAATCTTCTTTATACTTAATGTGACAAAATTGTGTGTGTTTATTTTTCATAGCTAACTCTGAAAATTATGATTTTTTATTATGATTTTCATTGTAAACACTATTTTCTTTCTTCCTTTTTTTTCAGGAAACATTGGGGCTTACAATTTTTTTAACCAATAATAATTATCTTACATTATCATGCCTTCCATCTCATGCTCCAGTATATTTTAAATCTGTGAGTTATTGGGGATATTTAGATATATATTTATTTGATTATATATATGTTTATTTGCATTATGTATTATACTCTATTTTCTAGTTTCTGTAACCAGCATGTCCAGAAGGATTTCAAATCACAACTAGAAATCCATGTATATCTTATGTTTTGTGTATTTATTTTGTCTCTATGTTATTGTGTAATAAAGTGACTTTTAATTATTTCTTTTCACTAATCTATAGTATCCCTTTATCCAAAAAGAGCTTTTAGTAATTTTCATTATACAAAACCAATTTGAGGGCCATATTATCTCCCAATTTGTTCAGATGTCCTTAAAATCCCCTAAGATTTTGTATGATAAAATAAAATTGAAGTTTACATTCAAGAGAGTATTTCTCAATAATGAGAATAAAACTATGGGAAGATTAATGTTTAATAAAGTTTATGTCAAAATAATTTATTTAAAATGTTATTAAAATTGTGAAAAATAGAAAAGTAATCCACAAAAATAGCATACCAATTGCCCAAGTTCAGTCTTGAATTGGGGGAGTGGAGAAGAACTGGCCAAAATTGCAAGTATTACATCCTACTTGACCTGTAACCCACCTAGGCATCATTATGATCCTAGCAAAGAAGTTAATTCGCAGTCATAATTTATATGTAAATATGTAAAGAAAATCTCTTTCAAGTAAAGCACTGTCACAATTAAATAACAAGAAGAAGAAAACTCATAATGTGCTTGATATTTTAGAACTACTTCTAGGCAGCATAGATACATTGAATCACTTAACCTTCACTCATCCTTTCTAACAATTCTGCAGGGACATGTTGGTTCTGGATATAAGAACAAATAGTTTTAGATAACTTACACTATTTGCCTAAAGTAAATTTTCAAACATGGCATATATTAAGATACAGTGTAGAATATATCGATATCCATACATTTCCTGATATTTTTTGCTATGTAAATACAAATAATTGCCACTGTTATCTGTTATGCTGCTTTTATTCATATGCCTAAGATCTCTCAAATATATTAAAGTCTCAGCTGTACCACCCAAAGAGCTTTCACTGGATGACATTTTAAAGCCTATTGTTTTATGCACTTTTGAAATTTGTGACAGAAATGTTTTATATAACTAAAATTATGTCATAATAGTAATTGTAATCTATAAATATGACCAATCTCTAAAAACATAGTACAAGAATT